CCAGAAGTTTCATATAGAATTAAGGTTATTTACTTCTTGAATAAACTGACAAAATTTTAACAAATTTCAAATGGTCCTAATGCTGTGATTGAAAAAGACATCCTAATAAGATCTGCTTCTTTGAAGTCCTGCCTTTTTTTCTGTTCTATCCTTCTGTCAAGGAGTCCTTCATCTTGACAAAATCTTTTTTTTAGGTTTTAATTTCAAGATTCTTGTACATTTTTAGGGAGAGATCAATGGATTTTGATGAAAGATTCAAAGTATGCTTCTTGAAACATTTTGGATTTCCAACTACTTACAATAATAATTCTTTAAAAAAAAAGAAAATAATAATGCACAAGCCCTACTGGCTTAGAAAGAACCAGAAATATGAAAGCTTGGACAAGGCTGGTAATGGCTAATATTTAACATTCTACTTGCTGTACAAAGAATTATCAGAAAGAGATAGCATTTTGAAAAGCACCAAGATATCAGACTGAAACAGACCTTCTGGATCACCAGTGCTAGATGCTGCTGTCTCAAGCACTCATATCAAGCTACTTACAAATTTAATAAACTATGAATTAAACTCACAGTTAGGCAATGTAGAAGATACAAGAAAAAATAAACAGAAGCTTAAATCATTCAATATTTGTGAAAAACTGACCTTGTCTTCCATTGAGGGTCAGTTGCTTGGAACTGACTGTACAGTCCTTGGCATGATTTAATCCTTGAGATACTCTTTTCTACCTCATTTGTGCCTTTGTGTCACCATTATGCAATGCAATAATTCTTCCAGCTTTGATTGTTGCATGTGACTCTTTCTGTGTTAGCTTATTTGAAGGGTTAAAATCATGAGACCAGCCATCTGATTCATGAAATGCACTTATTTTATGCATGTGTGAGCCTCTGCTCCTGGGCAGGTGTATGAGAGCATGTGGATCTGCGGCAGGCAGATTTTCAGGTTGAGAAGGGCTTGTGGAAGACTTTACCCAACTCCCATCCCTCAGTGATAAAGGCCATTGAAAATCTCACTTATGTTTATTATCCATACCTCAGCCACCTCCAGAGGCTGACAGTTCAAACTTAGCATTTTTTCACCATGGAACTGGGATGATTCAGGGAATATTAGAAGTATCAGTAGTTTCAGAAATGAAGAAATAAATATTCAGCCTCAAAGAACACTTACATCTGGCCCATTTGGGCAACTGGTCATTAGATAGGGTGGTGAATTTGGATTCCACCATCATGTCCAGCAGAGTCCTGTGAAGCAAAGAGAAACAGGGTGGCTATAACCAGTAGTCTAGGATAAGCATCAACCAGAAGAGTTGTGTAAGGTGTTGGTTTGCAGACACTTGAGCCGATGCAGTGTCTGGCTGGATCTGCAAGCAGAAGGGTCTGCTTTTGTCTATCTTCTATCTTACAAGTTTCACTTCTTTTTCTCCCTCTCTCTCCTCCCTGGCAGTGCATTGCCACCATCTTCCTGGCTCTGTTTTCTACCTGAACTCCCCAGCAGACAATCTAACTCATCAACAGAGCAGAAAAGTACCCATATTTTTTTTTGCTGAATTTATTGTAATGGACTAAACTGTCTCATAGGAAGAACCAAAAAGGTGTCAAACCCAATGCCAGATGTGCAGGAGAAATACATAATCGGTATGTGAAGTAACAGCTGAAAAAGAGGTGGAAAAGCAGAATAGAAACTCAGTACTTTGGGCAGTATCAAATTGCTAAATTTGTTCACCTTGTCTCGTGCTGTAAGATTAGAATTTAATTCTCAAGAACAGTAGTGACTTTTTTGGCCATGTATGACCTTTCCTTCCCCACAGGCTGAAATGTCTGTGCTGTAGACAAGTCTAATTTATCACTTATTTGGTACTAAAACCTTCAGAATTTTGAGTTATGGTAACATGAGCTCTTCTCTTCTGACCCACTTTGTTTAAACCAGAATTATCTCTGCCCTTGTTTGTGTGACACAGTCTTCAGTACATTCATTCCAGTTTCTAAAGGCAGTATCCTTCTGCAAAGTCCCTTGAGAGCGGATCATTTGTATTACTGTTAGCACAACATCAGTGCTATTTGACATATTTTATAGATACACATCCTAAGGCACTGTCATTAATCCTTGAAACATGACAAATACTTTAAAAGCAAAACAGGCAATTAATATACTTTTTAAAAGTTAAATGGAATTAGCAATCAGAAACAAATCCAAAACCTCCCTGAATCAGTTTCACCGTTTAAAATCATAATGACAGGATGTTCTTTCTCCACTCGGTTGACACTGAATCCTTGGCATTTGCAACAATCATGGAGCACAGACTGTCTTCAGGGCTGTAATGCATAATGAACTTGGACAATGAAGACACGAGACTATTTAAGGCTTGGTAAACTATTGAGTAACCTTAGCATCAATCCTACAAAGGGCTGGAAGTCTATAGGGAAACATCTCTGATATAATTATATTCTGGCTGACCTTAGTGTGAAGTAAAATACAGACAATAACGTTTCATACTGTCTCCAAACTAGGCAAGATATCATTAGTCCAGCAAGTGAAGCATTACATTAATCATTCTTGTGCTAGAATTATCATGTGGTGCGAGATAAGAAATACCTTGCATTATGGCTAATCCTTTTTTTCTCTCAAACTACTTCTCCTTTACTCTTCCTAAACTTTCCTTTAAGCCTAAAGACAGTTCATATCTGCATAGACATTAGAAACGTTTAGCAAAAACTGAAAGTTGCTACCATAAATGTATTTTTAGTGCCAGATGGTTAGTAGAGCAGGAATTACTGCTGTTTTCACTAATGGTAATGGAAAATCCTCATCTTCTCTGAAAGTTATGCTCTGTCCCTCACTGCTGTGCACTCCAGGGAAATAACTGGGGAGCTTCCTCCCTCAGTCTGACCTCTCAGTAATAGTTTCTGTTGTTTGTAGCAGTACTTACAAGTCACATCCTGGTTCTGTGCTGGCCCTGCATTTTTCACCCGTCAGAAAAAGCAAGGAGGCTACCCCACAAATGCACGTAGACTTACATTGCCTTAACAAATACTAGTAGGAAACTATCTAGAAGGTACAGAGCCTAAGTGCTAAGCAGAGAAAAGTTATTGTAAACACTCTATAAAATGGAGCCAACCATTCACAGTCCCACTGAGAGGAGACTGAGCGGCAATCCATTGCACAACAGCAAAGGAGCCATAGGCTTGCAGTCCAAGGAGGGGCACAAGTCCAGCTCTCGCCTCACTCTGTTTTGTACCTTGTCAGGACAGTCTCTTTGCTTTTATCACTGCTGAAGCCATGGTCAGTTAAAAAATAGAATCCTATTCCCAAATGTAGGAAGATAATGTCTATGGACTTTGGTACCAAAAAACATGTGCTGAAATGATTAGTATACCACCATCTGCTAAGTTAACAATTTTGTCTTGCCAAAATGGTTCTTGAAGGTAGATGCTCCGTTAATATTAACTCTTTTGAATGATTGGCAGAGTACTGGAACAGGCTGACGAGGGGGGCTGTGGGTTCTCCTTCTCTGTAGATATTCAAGACCCACCTGGATGCCTACCTGTGCAGCCTGCTATAGGGAGCATGCTTTGCAGGAGAGTTGGACTTGATGATCTGTGGAGGTCCCATCCAACCCCTACAATTTGTGATTCTGTGAATAAAATATCAACAACTTTACTACTCCTCAAGAGCAGACCCACACCACACATATATACTTTGCTGGTTGTATTTGGCCTCCAGTGTTTATTTGTGTGTGTTGTCTGTGAGCGAATTACAGCACATCTCTATCTTGAAGGTTGTTGTAACTAAGATGTACTTACAGAAACTGACATTTCTATCTAAGCCATTGAAACAACTAACTGCAAGGCATATGTCTGGAGAGATAAAATAGTCTTTAGAAAAATTTCCATATTTCAGGCCAGCAACCTGGCTGAACTCAGGTTTAATCATTTCTTACTAAGGCAAATGACAAATTGGCCATACAACTTAACAGGAATATGAGGTTTTCAACTGGAAGCAGTAAAATACATATAAAAGTGAAGAAAGTGTATAAATCACATTACAAAAGAGGTTCATCATTAATAAAAATGAAAAGTATCAAAGATAGCCTGTGCCTTATATTAATGGGCTCTGTGATTCCCAACTTTCTCAACTTCTGAAAAATGGACACAGTGCCCCTGACACGGGTGCACTGTCAGGCGCATGTAACATGACTGAAGACGTGGACATCTTCTCGAGGAAAGCAAACCATGCCAAAGGAGTGCAGAATTTAAATGTCTCCCTAGATGAATGATGTCACATGAAACATTTTCTCTGAGGACTGTGCTAAACAGTTCAAAATAGATGTAGTGCCTGAGATGTAGTATCTGAAGAGATTTCAGACAGAGGAGCTTCTTTTCCATGAGGGCCTCATGCAGACTATGCTAGGATAAATTCAAAGAAAGTTTTGTGTTGCTTTCTTAGTAGAATAGATCAGCTCCCAGAAGTGAAAAAAAAAAAAAAAAAAAAAAAAAAAAATTAGAAGAAAAAAATCAGAAGGCATGGCAGGGTGGGGAAAGAAAAAGTGAATCCCCTAAAACTATCTGTTGATATAGCATAAATACCAATGGCATTCACAACAGGGCCATAATAAAAACAGAATAAAACTGTATTCATATCCATCAGCTGATTTTCAATATGAGAACCAACAGACAGAAATCAACACGACTGCAGAAGGGAAGACTGAGTGTTCATGATTAGAATTAAACTTTGGCAACGTCAGCTTAAATCTAGAGCATTTCTGCCTGCTGGAGGCAGAGACCAGCTGTGGTCCAGTGTATGTGACACCAGGACTGGCCTAAAAGTCTCCTTTGGAGGAAAGAAATAGTGACAGAGAAGATAAAGACATTCTTCCAGTAAGCAGTCTTCACATCTTTCTGTCCAGCCAAGCCTTGATTTATGCGTCTTAAAAACACTGGGCAGCTCCAAGAGCAAGCTGTGTCCCCAGAGAGCACTAGCTGGGTTAAGATAAAATTCCTCAGCAGTGTTCAACCTTTTGGGGGAAAGAGAAGCTGAACAGCAAGGCAGAATGAGCAGAGACATACAGTTGCAGACAGACTGACTGACTCCTTCAGCTGCTGAACTGAGTGGAAGCGCATTTTCCCTGCTAATTGCTGGATGTCTGAGTACTTCATCTAACATGAAGGTAAGACAATTGTTTACTTAGTTTGTACTGATGAAGTGAACATGGCAAATGCAATGAAATGTTAATTTATGTGGAGAAATACTTGGCTGAAAATGTAACTGGGAAGTATTGGAAGAAAGAAGAAAACTGAAAAGCAGTACTTTGCACAACAAGACTGAAGAAAATCAGTGCACTATCGTCCTTAATTCTCCAAGCAGAGTAGTGTAAAGATTGCAGAAATTTGGAATAGCTGCATGAGGTAATGGAAAAATAAGGAAAAGAAAAAAGTAACTTTGCTTTGCTTCTCTTTTTTTTTCAGGTGCTGGGGATTTTTTTGTTGCTGGAGGTTTCAGGCTTCTTTCCCATTTTTTCCAGGTGAATATTTATTTAGAAAATAGCATGGTACAGACTAAGCATGGATAACTTAACAGACAATGCCTGTTGCATGTCATGGGGCTGGGCTTAAAGGTGTTTTCAGACGAATTTCCTGGCAGAGAACTGACACTGATCAGCACTGCCACTGTTATCCATGGTGACAGGAAGGAATTATGGTATCCCTCATTTCTTTGTTCAGTGGAGGAGGAGCAAGTAGTGGTGTGAGCCCGCAAACCACATCTTGCCCTGAGCCAGTCCCATGTTGTGGGCGGGTCACACCCCTATGCCTCCTGCTTATGCTGGAGGCACGGCAACCCTGACTGCTGCCCAGACACCTCTGGACATGATCTAGATGCTCTCTACTTTGCAATGTGGAGCTGGTCTTTGAAATTACCAGTGGATTCACAGGGCCTTACTGACCTTCAAGACAAGGGAACACGCTAAGTTTCTTGCTGATCAGTGACCAGAAAGGTTGAGGAGGAGCTGATTTTATTCTTAAGAATGGAAAGCAGATCTTGGTAGTTTTAGTGGGAGCGTGATGGTTCCCCTCATTTTCTTTGGAGGTCTGCTTTGCTGTTTAAAGAAGTTTCTCACTAGTGCTTTTGAATGGAAATAACAATATTCCACTTCTGTTTTTATAATGCAAAAAACCCTGCTGGGACAGCCGTTCCCGTCCAGTCAATTGCCGTTGGAATTCTTTTGGCCCTTGGTCCGAGTGTGATGGCTGTACCCAAAAACAGGTATAAATAGACACATTTTTAGCACTGCATGATTTCACAAACATATGCTTTGGGCGGGGCCCCCCCCAGTAATGAAGAATCTGTTCTATCTTTAAACTCAAACCAAGTTTCAAACAAAAGCACCTGAAGTGCTGTTCCACAGAAGAGCAGAAAAGGTTGCTATACCCTAGAGAACGGAATCCTCCAGTCTGTCTTCTCTGTGCGCTCTTTCAAAGCTGTGGTATTCACATTGTAAGATAATTTGTCCTGTTTTTGTTTTGGTGATAGTTCCAGAAAGATTGACTAAACTGTTCAGTACACCAAGACATTCTTTGGCTTGTACCACTTCCACTCATCTTCATCAGAGAGGTTATATGTCAAGGGAAGAAAACTTGTTCAAGGGAAGAAAAATATTGTTTCAAAATATTACACACAATGAAAACAAGTTGATGATTTTTAAAGTATAATTCTGTTGATTGTCTGATTGCAACTTTTATGTTGCATCAGTTAGGGAGGTTTGGTCAAAATTAAAGACATGCTAGGAAACTGTACTTTTGATTTTTAGAAGCCAAAGGAAACCCACTTGATGCTAGATTTTATTATATCTCTCAATAGCATTTTGATTTGGAAGAACACTAGCAAATTCATATCAGGCATGACTAGCCTATTAGTAATATAAAAGAAAACTGAAATTTGTCAGCACTTTCCTCCTATTGGTTTCGTATCAGATTATTGAACAAACCAGCCAAGTTTATGGCTCAATCTAAAGACCACGTAGTTGTCTTATTAACTTGTGAATTTGTTACCGTACTGTGGCAATATGAAGTGTGGTTAGTCTTAGAAAAAAGTAGTGAATGCCTCATTCTTTACAGCAGTAGAGCAGCATCCATGTCTTGACACCAGTAAACTGTTTCTGCTTTGCGTTTCAATTTCATAAAATCTTGATTTACATTCAGATTCGGAGGCGGACAGTAGCGGTTTATGGGCAGTATGGGGGAAACCCCTGCTCTGGTGATGCCTTTGAAACAAGACCCTGCACCCCAACAAGGGGATGCCCAACAGAGGATGGCTGTGGCGATCGGTTCAGATGCTCTTCAGGTACCATCCAAGATATTTTTCACCATTTTCTGGACTTTGAAGTTAAGAAATATAACTTTGTTGTCTTTGGAGTTTATAAATGAGCAATGCCATTAGTGAATCCTTGACCTACAAATAGATTTGATTTAGCAAGAATTTTTTTCCTTTTCAGACTCAGATGTGATTGTGATTTTCAATTTACTGAATTGCTTCGAAGTATGTTTTTGTGTTTAATTAAGAGAAGGTAATTAAAGAATGCAACCTTAGATGACATTGCTGAAAACTGATCAAGGCTATATTCGAACATCTTAGAAAGCATCTGGGCTCTGGACACTGAGGGACCCCAGACTAATCTAGCATGCAAGCAACTTCTGTTACCTTCACAAAAAAGACACACTACCTCATTGGGCAGATATTTATCATAGAGAAATATGATAAACTTGTTTTGATGTTATCAGAAAGATAATCAGATTTAATCACATGTGATATGGCACAAGATGAAAGTGTAGGAAGAAAACTTAGAAATGAACAGTCTTATTAATGTATCAGAAGACTTGATTGGCTGTGGTTTTCATGAGGGTACTACGCACTATTTCTTTATGTCTACATTTACTGTTGTTTCACAATCCCTCCTAAGTCCACTGTGGGAATGGCAAGCTAATTAACATCACAGTTAAGTGAGACAGTCATTTTGATTTTAGCTGATATTTAATTTTAAACAAACATTCCTCCTTTCTCATGCATTTTTGTTTCCTCTTAGGTCAGTGTATTAGCAGATCTCTAGTGTGCAATGGAGATCAGGATTGCGAAGAAGATGGTGCTGATGAAGATCAATGTGAAGAGAAGATGACTGTATGTGATACTGATAAAACACCTCCAAATTCAGAACTTACAGGAAAAGGGTAATGTACTGTGCAGACCTCTGTAGTACCAGCGCCAAAAGCTTTCATATTTTTATTGTATTTACAAGCTTCTGCTATACAGACAGAATTCCTGGGCCAATGGTAGAGCATCTGATATGGAAAAGTGCTCCAGCTGCCTCCATCATCCTGGTGGCTCAGAGCAGCTGAGATGTACTAGCTCTTTGATTTGAGGCAAAGAATAAAGCTTTCTATTCTACTATTTAAATACATCTTCTGATATGTGAAATACAATGTAAGCCACTAAAACACAACTATCAGAACAGAAAAAATGAGCCAGCAACATTCATTCTTTTTGTTTACTGCTATTTCATTTAGTGCTGTGGATCCATATCTATTTTTACTTTTGCATCCTCCATGCAGCCTAACAAAATAATTATCTCACGTTTCTTTCGAATAGTTGTATCACTTGGAACATGATATGATTCAGTTATATAGTTATATAGTTAAACTATATGCTATAGTATAAAAATATTTTTTAGTGGGTGTCCTGTTGTTGCTATTGCACATGAATTGCTGGAAAAATAAAAATAAAATCACTTGTGATAAACATAAATAAATTAAAGTCAATCAATGTGTGTCCATTTTGGTTGAAATATTAAGAGCTTTTTTTTTCCATGTGCTCATGTGCTGTTCTACCGACAAAAGGGTCTGTCAGTTGAGTTCCCCTTTTCTTAAGTAAATTAGATTATGAACTTAGCTGCAGATACAGCATTCAGTTATAACAGGATGGTAATCTTTAACTTCTGTAGAGGAATTTCTGCCTCGGTGTCTTAATGATTTTTCATGCTTTTATTCATGCAGCTTTGATGCAGTCACTGGAGAGTCTAGGGGAAGAGTTATTCATACAAAAAACTTTGGAGGACAATGCAGAAAAGTCTTCAGTGGGGATGGGAGAGAATACTACAGGCTGAGTGAAAGTGTTCTTGCTTACACCTTCCAGGTTTGTTTGCATTAAGCACAACTCTGTGCTTAGAATAACGATTATAATGGGGAGAATGAGAATCCTTGCAGGGTCCCTTGGCAGATAGGCTTCCCTAAACGCAGATGAATAATGCCTGTTCCCTCTCTGCAGAAAGCCCAGGAACTGTGGCTGTGCTTCATCTCTTACAGAATTAAATTCAGAGAAAATAATCCTGTGCCACTGTACATCTGCTGGCTGGAGTTATCAAACTAACGCTATTGCCAATAGCAAAATGTTTCAGTGCCACCAGAGTTGTGGGCCATGTGACACTAGGTGCTCTGTGAACGTTGTGTCAGTTTATGCTGAAAGAATCTTGTATATTAAAAGCTAAAATAAATAAATTAAAGTATATAATGATTTCAAAGGTGTATACATATGCTTACTATTTTGAAATAAGCTAGCTTTTGTCTTGCTAAAATGGAAAGAAAAAAGTGTAATTGCTCAGATATGACTTCTAACTCTCTCACAGCTAGAACATAAAGCCACCTCTTTTGGATAAGCTGCAACTTGAATTACCTTAAGAAACATGATGGGCACCTGGCTTTGGAATACTTTGCGGAGATCTTCCATTGAGACGCTTTATTTCAAATAACTGTCTCAGGGATTTGGTTTGTCTCCTTGCCAAAAGTAGGCCAAGCAATCATTAATGTACTTTACTAAGTAATGTAGATACTTCATATACAAACTTACATGTATATATACATATGCACACACATGTAACAGAATTATATAATTATTAAGGCTGGAAAAGACCACTAAGATTGTCTAGCCCAGCCATCAACACACCACCACCATGCCCACTAAACAATGTATCTTAGAACCACATTTACACATTTCTTGAACACCACCAGGGACAGTAACTCCACCACCTCCTAGGCAACCTCTTCCAATGCATTACCACTCTTCATGAGAAAAACTTTCCCTAATATCCAATCTGAACCTTCCCTGGTGCAACTTAAGGCCATTACCTCTCATCCTGTATGAGAGTAACACTACTGAAAAGTAACACATTTTTCAGTAGTTTTCATAACATTTCATGAAATCTGAAATGGATTCAGCCTGTAAAACACTTCCAATTTTCTGCACCAGGAAGGACTTGATCTACTTTATATCATTTTTAACATCCTTCATAACCTCTTTATACAGAATTCCATCTTCCATTTTCTAGGTTAAAATTCAGAATGATTTCAGTTATGAATTTTTCAACAGTAGCTGGTCATATATGAAGCACACGGAAAAGAAGAAAAAATCAAACAGTGGACACAGTTATTCAGAGAAGAAAAATGAGCAACAGAGTCATAAGGTATGTATGAATTGTCGCTGTAGCTTGGAATTTTGCATTAATATTTCCATCTTTTTTTTCATGCACTGTTATAGAGAGATGCACAAATTAATTCTGCCCATATATTTTTGGCAGGAAGGGCATGACAGAAAAGAAGTCCCTTAAGATCTTTTCAAAGAGATCAATGGTTTAGTTGCCAATAAAATGGCTTGGCTGCTGTTCCTTCCTTCCTTCCTTCCTTCCTTCCTTCCTTCCTTATTTACAAGTTATTTTCCTCCATATTTGAGGAAGAAAAGCATCAGCTTCTTGTTATAACTGATTATTCTTTTCCATTTTCTTCCACACATTTTTTTTCTACTATCTTTGTGAGTGTATTGGACTGAAAATATTCAGATAATACTGTGATTAAATTATCTTATAGTATCTTTTCCTCTAATAGCACTCCATTAAGAGAGAACTTTTGCCTGTAACATATATAAAACGAAGCATGAGATAAGTAATTTGTGAGTGACATTAGATATTAAGAAATAAAACCTGTGTCTCACAGCAAACAAAATCAAGTCACAAATATATAAATTTCATGGCCTCCATGCTAACAGAGGATAAGCTTGTCTTGCTGCTCTAACAACAATGTATTTTGAGACTTAGTCTAACAAAATTCAAAAAGAACTTTGGGAGGCTGAATTGATCCTCTAGATAAAATCAGACTGAAAAGGAAAACTTTTCTGGTCCCTCCAATTTGCTTTCAACAATTCTATAAAGATTTGTTCATTATCTGATATCACATCTTCATCATCTGGCTGATAGGAACTATCCTTTTTGTACAATGAAGCATGACTGATTTATTTTCCTTTCCCCAGAGTAGACAGCTGATGGTTGTTGAAAACACTGTGGAAGTTGCTCAATTTATTAACAACAACCCAGAGTTTCTCACTCTTGCGGAACCATTCTGGAAGGAGCTCGCCAACCTTCCAGTTTTCTATGAATATAATGCCTACCGAAGATTTATTGAGAATTTTGGGACTCATTTCTTACATTCTGGATCTCTAGGAGGACAATACAAAGTTATATTTTATATGGATACTGACAAAATGAAAGCAGAAGGTAGAGTATTTCTTACCAGAAATAAAATGAACAAACAAGAATAAAAATTTCTTTGGATGTTCTTCCAGCTGGTATCTAAAATCTGGAAAGAGACTTCTACTGGTCAGCCCATTCTCTTCATGGGCAAAAGAAAGAAGGTTATAAAAAGTTTTAAACTGCAATGTTTAGTCAAAGATCTGCCTGTGTGATGTGGGGTTCTCTGAGTAGCCAAGTTATCCCAGCTGTTTCAGGACCTCACCAGGCTAAAATAGAGTTGTAGGGCCAATCTGAATCTCAAATAATATTAAAGCTTAAATGTTGCTTAAAAGTGGAGGTTGGGTAAAATGTAAAAAGCAGAATATATTGCAAACAGAGCAAACACCAGAGTGACATACACAAACATGCTCAGTGGGGAGCAAAGCTGTAGGACTAGAGATTGCTGAGAAAAAGAAGGAAAGAAACAATAAGCCTTTCCCAGGTATGCCTCCCATCTGTCAGTCTCCATCTATAGGCTCTAGAAACATGTGGACCTTCCGACATAACTTGCTTTTTAGCTGCCTTCTTATTTTTTTCTTTCTAATGCACACTTGAAGTCAATACACAGCTCAGAAATGAACCTAACATGCTCCCTGTGTGCAATGTGTTAATGGATGGATTTATCTGCAGATATGAGCATAACAGATATGTATCAGTGCACCACATCAGGCTGGAATTTATTCATCGTGAAGAAGAAGAAAACAAAGTGCTCTAAGCTGGATGAACTGCTACAGACTTCTTCAGGTGAATGTTCAGTAGTGACTTGTACAGTTATGTCTACAGCTTCCATGTTCCTCTTAAATATCTGTCAAAATGAGGAGCAGGTGTTGATAACTGTGTTGAGCTGCATCGTGACATGTTGAACTCAGATCCAAATGTCTACTTTAAAAGACTCCCTAGCACCAGTAAAATGTAGCTGATGTTTTCCCAATAATTAGTAATTTTTCTGGACACCTGCAAAACCAGATATTTCTTGTATATCATCCATGTAGGACAGCTGGATACAGGCACAGATGGTTGATCTGCATCAATGAGTCCTGTGACTACTTGCTAGTACAGATTTTGCATGTATCATTTCTATTTCCATTTGCAAATATTACAACGGTGGCATTTTCTTTATTTTTTATTCCCAAATATTCAGGAAGCAACAGCAATAAGATCAGAGGAGATCCCTACATAGAAGGTGGAAGCCCAAGTGCTGTTGCTGGCCTTAGCTATCTAGACCTGGATGATCCTGCTGGGAACAACCAGAGATACTCCTCTTGGGCCAGATCTGTGACAGACTACCCCAGAGTAATTAAACAAAAGGTAAGGATAGTTTCCTGAAGCAGAGATGAGCAGATGGGATTACTCCAAAGGGAGAAATGATTAAGCTATAGCTGGTGATTAATCAGGTAGTAGTCTGAAATAATTTTGTATTCAGATTAATTTATAAATTAAATAAAAAATTCACAGGAAATAAATTCCATGAAGTTAACATGAAGTGATAGCTGTATCATCAGCCTAGCCTTTGGCAACTTGATATCTACACTTCTACAAGCCTTCAGTAACTTTAGTAGAGCTCTATCTAAGGATAAAGAATCACCCTACCATTTCAAAAAAGCTCAGTTTCCACATAGCCCTGTTCATGAAAGGCATATTTGCAGATTTGTGCAGCTTCCACTCAGCTTGTTCTTTTTATCCCTCTCCCTTTTCTGTGCATGCAGAAATTCGATATGACTGGGCATTCTGGTAGCCACACACACAAGGCTGATTATGATCATATTCACCACTACCTTGTTTAAATTCTTTTTGGAAGCAGTCCATACACTGAAGAAAGGTGTGATACCAAAGGAACTGCCAGGGGCTTTTCAGTTAATGCAAAATGTTTTTGCTTATTGTTGCCTTCAGTGACTGCTCAGTGAAATGGTCTGATATCCAGGCTTTTGGGTTGGAAATGGTTTGGCAAGTATTAGGGTTTTTGTACCTTGCTGGCCTGCTTTATGGTACACATTTATCTCAACTGTAATATCGTATCTCAAATACTTTTAAATATATCTAAGCTAACCAGTAGCTTCTAGGGGTGCTGTTTAAGCAAAGCTGGCTTTCCAGAAAAAGGATAATATTAAAAATTAACATAAGAATCTAGACAGACAGGAAATTAGAGCATCTTTAAAGTCCCATGTGCAGGAACATATATTACAAACCATTTCACATGACTAAATATGCTTACACACTATTCTATCTCTAGTATAACTATTTAATATCAATGTTTTTCTACTCTCTGCAGCTAACACCATTGTATGAGCTGGTAAAGGAAGTGCCCTGCTCCTCAGTCAAAAAGCATTACCTAAAACAATCCATTGAAGAATATATGGCTGAAAATGATCCCTGCAAATGTCAGCCATGCCAGAATGGGGGTGAGGCAGCTGTGGAAGGAACTCAGTGCACTTGCTACTGCAAGCCTTACACCTTTGGAGCAGCTTGTGAGCTGGGAACTCTTGTGCAAGATCAGCCAGGTCAGCACTTTTTAAGCTCACGAGAGTTCAGAATGGGCGTATGTGTTCTGCTTCTGGAGCCTGTCCTGCTGCATGAACCACTGCTGCCCAGCATTCAGCACAGATGGATCTTCAAATGAGCCTGACTCTTGTTTTGCATGTCCAAGCAGTATCATGCAAACAATTTTTGTGTTATTATTGTTAAATGCAGTGGACAACATTAGCACCTCAAACTGCAACCTTCTATAAGCAAACAAACAAACAAATAAATAGGAAGGAATAGCAATATAAATAGGAAGGAATATGCACTGAATGACCAGCTACCAATACATTTTAAAAATCTTGTTCTTTAATTTTTTACCTAGCTGTAGCTACTGTTATGTTGTCTTAGACTGGTAAGCAATTCCAAGTCCATGGAAATATAGCTACAGAAATAGTGAGTTTGGGAGAAAATAGATCATTGCCACCTGGACCTTTCTGTAAGGTCATATTTTGGCTCATCTTTAGCTTGTTGGGGTTTTTTTATTTGCTTGTTTGTTTTTAAGGACAACAACCCTATAGAGCTTTTTAACGTGAAACATCCTCCAATGTTACATAGGTATTGTTGATGGGCGCTGGAGCTGCTGGTCTTCCTGGAGCTCTTGTTCAGGGGAAAGGAAAACCAGGAGCAGAATTTGCAACAACCCCTCCCCAAGTGGTGGAGGGAAGGACTGCATAGGAGAGCAGCATGAGAGCAGGCCCTGCGAGGATGAAGAGCTGCAGCACTTTCGGTAAGCAGAAAAGGAACATCTGCGTTATGAATACAGGAAGTGTTAAAAATCTAATCCAAAATACCATGTAAGCTATTGAATTCAGGGAGAAGGTCATTTATTGAGCTGTCACATTTAAGCTGAAACAAAATGAAACTCAGAAGTTGTGATTCTGATAGAAAGTATGGCTGGGAAATGGGGTAAAAAACTGTAAATGTGACACTATTCTGCTCGGTATTCTCTCAGACAGCCTGGCAGTGCCTGTTCTAAGTTTAATCGTGGCTTCTTTCGAAACATAGCATTTTGAAAGGAAAGCTGAATTCAAACTTAACCATACTTTTGTTTACTTTATAGTTTTATTGAGCCACACTGTTTTGATACATCCATAACTCCTACAGAATTCTGTTCACCTCCTCCTCTCTTGGCAAATGGATTTGTTCAAGTAAGTTATTTCTACTACTCCATTATCTGTTCTATCCCCATCAGCAGTATTTCAACTTCAGTTAATGCAGAGATCCACTTGCAGCCATGTATTTATCCTGGTAAGCTCAGTATCAGAGCTACTGCATAGTGGCTTTCTCAGCAGTTTTCCTTGGCTGAAGTTTACAGGGCGTTTGGTAAGACTTTTTATTAAGAATAAAAGCAAACCATAAAGTCATATAGAATCCAGAACAAAATCTTTACTTTTCAGTATCACACTGCCTATACAATAAAGAAATCTACATGTGCCATATCCTAAAGACACATTAAAAAACGCCTGTGCCTTGTGAATTACATATTAATATAGAGGAAATAAGAGAGGAAACAGCATAGAGACTATGCAAGGTCATCCAGAAGGTCCACAGCAAAATTATAAACACATTTTAGGGATCTGCAGTTTATATCCCATGATTCACCATTATGCTTTCTTATTCTCTGTTGAAATTATGACATGTAAAGGTAAATTAGGCCTATATAACAAGGACAAAAAAATTCTTCAGACTACTGATTACGTCTTCTTTATTTCTGCTCAATAAGTAGATTGAAGCATTAGTTGTCAAACCCATTAGTTGTCTCTGCACACCTGCAACCTGAGGCAAGGTCCCAGATTTGGTGCTGTCTCTTTTGCTAGTGATTTTTTTCTGTGATCAATAGTTGTCTCCCATATCAGAGCTTTTGTTTCAATAACTAAAAGTAAATCCCTCCACTTTGAAATTGAGTCTCATTTTTTTTTTTTATAATAGGGAGATTTTTAATGTAACAGAAGGATATATAAATCACAAATGGCGTATGTCCTGAAGTCCAGCTCTTCTGAGTGACTGTTATCACTTTTACCTTGACGGAACTGATTATATGCTTCCTAAGAATTAGCAAAGCCATATATTGTTCACTGATCCATTTGAAAGGCTGTTTAAGAGCTTGTATTCCTCCTCTAATGCTTGATAACTGGTATATTTTCTGTCCATTTACATAATGGCAGGATAGAGCTGTTCCATCACTGATGTGTCACTGCCAGATCCCTGGCAAAGGGTCCCCTAAAACCTAGCCCTACCTTAGTTTAGTAAGTTAAGGTAGCCAGAATATTCTATATTTTGCTGATTTTTTTTTTTAGATCTCCATTTTGATCTCATCTTCTGGCTATTGATAACCAGCACAGTATTCCAGAGACTCAATCACTTTTAGAATATGTATTTTAAATGACACCTATTTATTTTCTTTCAGAATGCTGAAAATTCATATCCTGTTGGGAAAAGTATTGTTTATGCTTGCAGACATGGATATTCTCTTATTGGTAATCCTGTTGCTAAGTGTGGCAGTGATTTGGAGTGGCAGGGTGCAGACAGATATTGTCAGGGTATGTCTGTTTCTCATTTTGAAATACAACTTAATTCCTGAATTCCAGTGAAACTTCTCTGAGTGTCTGCTTTCCAGTAGTAGCAGGGGAAATGCACACTTGTATTTCCTAGATCCCTAGACAGAATCTGCTTTATGCTGCGTTTTTTTGTACTGAATAGAAATATGTCCATGAGGGCTGGTTTTAAGACAGGAAATGGAACAAGAAGAAAAGTCCAGTCCAAGAATTGCTTTCTATGTGAAAAACTTTTGTTCCTTCATTCAGTCCTGTGGTGGAATTCAAAAATTATTGGTGTAAGCCAAGCAAACAGAGTAAAAGGTCCAGAAGGCAGCATTGGACAACCACAAAGCCCTCAAGTAACCATCTTGTCATAAAAGCACAGCTTCACGGATTGCTTTCCATCTTGGACAATCTCCTCACTCCACTCTTTTCCTCTTTAGCAGTCAGTTATCCTTGGGATTTCTTTTTGACAAAGATGTTTCTTATGATTCAGTATTGAGTGGGATTAGAGATTTTTCTTCTTCCTTACCCAGTTTAGCCATAACTGACTACCACAAAGGCTAGTCCATATTGCTTGAACACCATCTCACTGTGAGAACTAAGTCCTTAGGTTGTTCCAGGGCCCTGTTTGTATGATCTGACCATATTAGCTTGTTACTCACTGATATGAACCCTCAGCAGAAGCGTGGGTCAGACCTGTAGGTAGCAGGAGGAGATATCGTCAGAGTATCCTTGGTACAGCACATTCACTTTCTTGGTGTGATTTGTTAATAGCTCATGTTAACATGATCAGTGTATACCTACAGGAGCACCATCTAATCTTATGATTTGATTTCTTAAGAAACTTAGGAGATAAAACCCTTTTTTGCAGCCCACTGGTTCACTGTGGCTATCTCAAACCTCATTCCTTAGAAACTGCTTGCCTCCTGCCTCTCCTGGAGGGGGGGCTGCAAGGAGAGCCATGGAAACCTTCGTATGAGATTGGTGAGAGAATAACTCTGTCCTGTTCACATGGCATGCATCTAGAAGGGGCACGCTCCATTTTGTGTGAACCCAGTCTCAAGTGGACTCCTGATATGAAAACCATCCAGTGCAAAAAGGCAGGTAAGCCATTGCAATCCTCAAAGTGCAACACAGAAGTTTATTTTCTTGGTAGACCATTGGTGGTATAGATAGAACACAGAATTGTAGCTGACATGGCTGCTACCCAGGCACATCTCCTACTTTTCAAGTATGTTGTTTTTTGGTCAGCCAGCTGCTGCCTGAGGTAGCCTGATTGGAGATGAAGGGCAGGTGGCAATAAGGCCTAGACCAAAAGAGCAGCAACGTCTGAGTTTCTCATTCTCACCATTCATCACTGTATCAAATCGGTGTGCACATTAACCACAAGAATTTCTGAGGGATTAACATATCTGTACATAGTTCAGCTCACCACTGCTGAAGTACAGAAGTACCAGATCTAATGTACCACTGATGCCAACTTCCCAACTCTTTCAGCTTAGCCTTACAGACCCTTCTTTGTTTTGTTGGGGTTTTTGGTTTTGGTGTTTTTTTTTTTTTTTTTTTCATCATATATTGAAATTCCAGTAAAGATTAGAAAGTTTCAAATGCTTTCATCTTTAGAAATAGCTTGTGTCTTGCTTAAGGGAGCATTACTTTGTACAACAGTTAGAAAAAATAGTGAAGATTAAAGACTGTAAGATGGAACTTGCAGCTGTATTACCATCAGTGCATAACAATATTAAGACTCACTATTTTGACACAGGGCTTTGGAGCCTTAGCTTTTCTGGTTCCAGTAGTGAAGCCAGTAACTCTGAAACCTAATGATAAAGCTGTTGCTAGCAATGATTCAGCACTGCTAAGATTAGCAGAGACAGACAGCTGCTGCAGAAACGAGATGGGTGTTTGAGCTTGAACATAGTACCTGGCTCTTTCCATCTGACTCATGACCTATGGGTAAATTACTGTTCAGTAACTTTATAAAGTGTACCATATATTTTTAATACTGTTGGTTCCTTCTGTGCAGAAGGAACTTTTAATGAACATGCAGGCTATGATTTTGTGTCATGGCTGTATAATCCAGTTCCTTTTATGCTCAGCTGGTAGGATACTTTTGGAGTAAAGCTTTAGCAGCCCTTGTTTTTCTGACCCTTGGCATTGTCTGTGTTCTTTTACTTCAGTTCCCAGTGTGAAACCAGAAGTGACAGAGCCTAAATGTCAGCCATGGGAGAAAGTGCAGCAGTCGCAATGTGTATGCAAATTGCCCTATGAGTGTGGGTAAGTTCAGGCTGGATTTAGCAATGACCTTCTCACTTTATTCAAGTCCAATTAAATTTCTGAAGTTTTCATTCCATGACAGTTTAGAAAGCTTTATTCATGAGAAGCAGGCATTGTACTTTGTTTGCTTTACAGCTCATTCAATGTCCTACTCATCACTTACCTGCCTTGTCAGAGCTGTCAGTGGGTTTTAGCAATGATGGAATTCAGTTAGATGACAGAAGGTGAAGAAATAATTTCAGTTCCACTTGATCTGTGAGATAGATGGAAAAAGATAAAATGATATTTTGAAGATTTAGAAGACGGAGGAAAAGTTAGAACAGAGACCCTTGGAACATAAAGCATCAAAGCAGTAAGGTAGGGAAATAAAGCAGCTTTCTTTTCCCTGCTAGGGACTGCAGCATTACTAACAGCACAATAATCTAATTTCCCATTTGCACAGCCATTTGCACAGATCAGTTATGTCACCTTTCCTGACCTCATAACTTGCAGACCAGGGTTTATTTCCTATCTGATCCTACATTCAGCAATAAGCAATGCAGGATAAAGGTATGTATATGAGTTGAACTGTCAGTTCCTTGCAAAATGTTGAAGGAACAGAATCAAAACAGAGATTAAAAGGAAGAGGCCCCACAGACCATCCTGTGCTGACAGCCAAATGTGCCAAAGAATTCAGCATTCCAACATCTGGCTGGTTTTCAAAGATCAGACGAAGTTTCCAACAAAGTCACTACTGAGCTTTAAATGTGAAATCCAGCCAGCTTATGTCACAGCAGAAGCTAAGCAGTTTGGAAACTTTAGTATGACAGACTGGATTTGTCCTTTCCTCATACAGCAGGGAGAAGGTATTTTGAACTCCTCTCCAGTGATTTCAAAGTAGCAGAATTTCTCAGTGGAGTAGGTGTACTGTTCTGTCAGCCTCAGAACTCAGTAATGCCTTGCCCAGTGACTCTAGTTATAAGCCAAAATTCAACACAATTTGAACATTTCAGAATTACAATTAGTGATTTTTTGTTCAGATTTTGTAGATCCACTGGACTCTTAGCCAGTATTTGAAGACACTGCCTTGCGCAAGTGTAAGGTCTGTAATAAGCCAGTTAAGAGTTTTATAGTCAGTTGTTTTGCTAACCTAGTCCTAAACATTTTATCTCAGTACTCAATAAATTGAGGCAACAACGTCTCTGGTTCATGGATGCAGTGAAGTTATTTGGGGGGAGTCCCCAACACTGGGGAAGGGCTTGGATAAAGTCACAATAACATTGTAAAATTAAATAAGTAAATTTAAGCTTAGTTAAAATTAATCTACTGCCTCCTGTTTCCATTTTTTTTAATTACGTTTAAAATATCAGGAAGATACATAGCAGTCATTTTTGTTACTGATACTGTCTTTTTGCTGTCTTGAAATAACACATCTAATATTAGAAAGATAAGTCATCATCTGTCAAAACAGACCAATCTGCCAGCCTATTAATGCTGTAGGACACAGACATGTCAGTAGATGTTGGTCCTTCCTCAGAGTGCAGAAGTAGCCCAGTTTGTTCTGCTGTGGTGGTGACACTCAGCAGCAGCCACTGCTTAAGAGGTGGGAACAGTTGACATGGGAAGAACTGTGGCTTCAGACGCATCACAAATCCAGTGACAGCACAAGAATCCCACGAGGGATCATTTGTCCCTCATGACAGTGCCTTAGGTTACATCTACCCTCACCAATTACAGCCAGAGAATGATCATGGGCAGTGGAGCTGCTGAATCCCTAAAGCAGCACCTGGCAGAGTTTTGGAAGGGGTCAGCGCTCCAAATGCAGCTCAGGAATTGTGAGGGTGAGGGACCAACTCTAACGGGCCATTGGTTTTGGTCTCCTTTTGTGGACAGAGAGAACATAACAGTATGAACACAAGCTTTTCTGTTTGAAAGGGTGTGAGGTTGCGAAAGGGCCATAGCACAGTTAGTGCGTTAAGATGGATGAAACCTCAGCTACTGGAGGCTAAAGACCAGCACCTAAGCACTAGATTCAAGGGTTTTTCCTCATCATCTATTTGCATAGCATCCCTGTCTTGGCCTACATTATATTAAAACTTATGGGCTTCGGATCATATTCAATTCAATTTCTCACTTAGTTTCAACTAAAAGCTGCCCGCCTCTCATAGCAGGTGAAAGGGAGAGAAAGTGTATGCTGATTACAGCTGCAATTTCATTTCTTCTTTATGTTCTTCAGTAAAGGAGTGTTCCTACCCCCCACCTGGGTAGAAGTTGTTGAATTTTTTCAGGTTCCCTTTACACAAGGACTCTTCCTTGCCTTTAATAATTTTTATTGCACTTCTTAGAGCCGCCTATAACAGTCTTTCTAAATTAATGAAAATTAATAAATTCTGTTATAAGCACAGATTCACTGTGCTTTTTCTGGACATCTGGTCCTGCATCTGGTCATGTTGATTTCCACTGACTTCTCCCCAGCTGATCCAGCCATGGCAAATAGGTACAGCAGTCTCAAGATAGCTTGAAGTATTACTGCATTGTAGCTACAGATTGGAAAAATGGAGCATTCATTCCTTGTTTCTTTCCCAGCAATCAGATTTCCCTGTGTTCAACCAAGCGGTGAAATCAGCCTCTCTCCCCTCTGCTGCTGATAAAGTGGTGCAAAGCAAAGACATTAACACAATCCTATCTGACTTTTATTTTTCCAGCTAACTTAACCTGCCTCTTCTACAAATTTTTGTCCTTAAGGATCAAATACTGAGATTTACCATTCTCAGGCAAATATAAAGGCCTCTGAGGAAATTTAAACATAATACACAACTTAACTTAAAGACTAGATGCTTCCACTGGATCACATTATGTTATTCCAAATTTAAACTGATATTCAAAAATTAAGAATTTCCTGTACCCATACCTGCTAAGATAACTTTGACATCAAAAATCAGTGCCCCAGCATCTCATAGGCTATGCAGCCAGACAAGAAAATAATGTAATGGAGAGAGATGCAGAGTTTCTGTTATTAGCTGGTTGGCACAACATATCTGTTGGGCTCTTGCTGTACCTCAGAATAAAAAAGTTAAACTCATTCTTTATGTCAACAGAAGATCAGTAAGGAAAATACATGTGACAAACATAGGTACAGGTATTGTGAATAATAAAAGGCCCATGGCAAGTGAGGATGCAAACATCTCAGGGGCAGCATTGTGTGGAAAACAAAAAAGTCTGAATTATTCATGCATCTAAGCCTCAAGTTCACTACTTCTTTCTTTGGATGAACCTCACTGAAAGGAAAAAAAAAGAATTGAACACTGAACGTTTCCCATTCTCTCAGCTCTTTTTAAGACATACCAAGATAAAACACTTTTAAATGACGTGATCCCTGCTTTTTATTTTTAGTCCTTCCCTGGACATCTGTGCCACAGATCCAAGAACAGAGAGAAACACACCATTAACTGTTTGCAAGATGTATGCCTTAGAGTGCATGGGTAGAAAATATTCTCTTACTAATGCAGCAAACTGCAGAACACCTCAGGCAGCTGAGAGATCTTGTGGGTCATGCCGCTCGTGGGAAAAATGTGAAGGTGAGAGATTCTTTATGATTTTAAGTGAAATTTGTTTATATGAACAAAATGAAGTTCATAACCCCATTTACACACTATTATAGTGATGATGGCCCTGTGCCGGTGCAGCACCTCCAACCGTTCCAGCAGCACAGGGCACAACACTACTGCTGAGTGGATTCAAGCCATTCAACCAGGGTTTGGTGTCTGAGTATGGCAGGAAGAAAAAGAAACCCCGTGGGGGAGAGTAACCGAGTGACAGGTTCTACAGGAAAAGCTTACACCTACTCCCTCCTCAATGAGTTACCTGATTTGATGTTCCTTGGGAAGTTGTGCATGAAGCTTTTGCCTTACTCTTTTCTCACTGTTTTAAGTTCCTCAACTCAATAACTGCAGGAGTCTTTGCTGCCCTAAAGAACAGCCAGGCTTTTCCTGGAATTGGATGAGCTGTCTTCCCAGCTGTATCCTGTGGCAAGGAATTGAATATTTCATTCTGTACCACCTAGAAAGGATACTTGTTTTTGTTCGTACTTTGCTGCATATCCCCAGTTTCTCATATTGTGAGCAAAGGTGAAGGAATATTCCCCTAGAGGAAAGAGGCTCAGTCTTTTGCAAGCTATGCTCAGTGGAAGTTCTCAAATTCCCTGATTTAATTTCCCTGAGTGTCCTCCATTACAGTGCATTTAATAGAGGGCTGGCAGAAATGGAAAGATAAAGGAGTAAATTATGTTTTCAGAAGTGCCCCAGATAGAAGGCACAGTTATTGTCATATTCTTACAGTAAAAAAGATTGCTTGATAGGAATTTGTCTGTTTTGTCTACCAACTCTGAACAGACCAAAAAAAAAAAAAAAAAAAAAAAAAAATTGGATGGAGCTTAAGCAGAGATAAACATACCACACTGAAACAAAGACATGGTTGTGAAAAGTAAACCTCCTCACATGATTATTTAGATGTTGGCACTGATACAACTATGCACATTCATTTGTAGGAGCAAATCCTTCTGTTATGGTGACACTGCCTATGAGTAAGTAAAAATTCAAGTTGTGTATGCCTGACTGGTTTGTTGCTTTCCAAGGACAGACCTCTCGTTGCACAGGGTATCTGGAATCCAGAGCAGTACGTTCACAAACTGGTGTTAGCAGGCTTTCAGCAGTAACATCAGAGATGTCCCTGAGGCAGCAAGCCGTACAGCTGATGAAGCTTTCCCACAAGCACAGCCGAGCTAGCTGAGGAAGGCCTGCTGTCGGCACTGAGCTCCTGTTGCAGCCAGCACCACCTGTTGGTGCTTCTAGTTATTCCGTCAGACATGAATGCCAGCTCGTGCTACAGCTGGCTGAGAAGAGCACCCTCTGCACACCGCTGTTACTCCCAGTAACATTTTGCTAGGAATGCTTTGGTTTGCTTTGCACTGAGTCAGGTGCCTATGTGCCTTTTCCTCTGTGCCCTTGCTCAGCGCAATCCAACAGCTGTGTGTGTGACGAAGATGCGCCGTGCGAGGAGGGCGGCATCCAGGTCTGTGCTGCCCTGAGCGACTTCACTGCCCGCCAGACCATGACAGAGTGTGAGGCCGGACGGCTCCAGTGCCAGGGGCAGACTGTCACCCTCATCAGCATCAGGCCCTGTGATGCGCAGGCCAAATGAGATGCGTTACGGTTCATTTTGTTTATTGCCACAGGATGTGTCAAAATGTGTCAACTCTTGGGCAGGACATACTTCAAACCATGCTCTATCAAATACAAGCTGTGCTGTGAAGCCCACTGCAGCCTACGGGTCTGTGTGCATTGGCTCTGGTTGCACTGACTGAGGCCCTTCGTTAGGCAGAGCTGCACTCTCTGCTGAACCAAAGGCTGTTGGCTTATGCTTCTGACTTAGCACTGGCAAGCTTTGTTTGCATTTCTGTCACAATTAAAAGGTGTTCCTGAACTGCAATCGCCAAAGCAGTGATGGATTACAGTATATAGCATTGCAAATGCATTTTTCTGAGAGCAGCGCAACCATATACATGTGTTGACTACAGCTTCCTAGAAAAAGAATAGCCTTTACAAAATAAGACATACAATTCTTAACTTTTGATAGACTAACCTCTTCCTGCTGTGCCTTGTTCAGCTGTGCAAACAGCATCTACAGCATTGAACCTGTTGCTGAGCCTGAAGCTTTTAAAAGTCTAAACAAGATGCATTAACAGCAAAGTCAGCTTTAAATAATGAGAAGAATGTCTTTGCTCAGTTTCTTGTACACAGAAGCACTTCAAGAAGAATCACCGTTTTGCACTGTTGTAGCTATCACCATGAGCTACATTTCTGAGTGCAGCTAACTGCATTACATTTGTCACATATATTTATGCTTGTGCCCATACTTGTTTGCTCAAAGACCATTGCGTGTGGAAGTCTTCTACCACAGCACATCTTTCTCATGGGAGCTATTAGGGAAAATACATTCTCGTGGGCATGGAGAGAGCATACAATCCCTTGGAGACGACCTTGGAAGAAAGACAGTTACTAAATGCGAGGAGTCTCTCCTACCCTTCCATATACTTGTCATCAGGCAGGGACACCTTTGCTTGCTAAGGTTGAATCTTGCAAGTCAGCTGAGGTGCCTCTCTCAACCGTCCTTTCAAACAATGCCCGTAATGACATGAGAGGTGGGCAGTAAGCAGCAGGACGAGTGATCAAGAGAGTGCAGTGCTATCAGCAAGAAGCTAGTGTGCTTTGTAAATATCAGATGTTGTTTCTTAGTATCAATAAATGCCTACCAGAATATACGTCTCCCTTGGTTTTCATGTTTGTATCTGCAATTTACCTAACTCTTGTAGGCCCTACTCTCAGCTGAAAATGCTTTGCTTTCTGTGGCGCTGGAAATGAGGATTAAGCCTGGATCATGATTGTTATTTTAATTACTCTTTCTGTGGGCTGCTTCTTTTTCAGAAATTTGTAAATTTTTGCAGACAGTTTACAGATTAAAATAAGCAGAATAAAGGCCAAATTAATCAGTTATTTGCTCTGAATTATCTGCTGAATATGAAGGAACAGCATATTTGGGGAATTTCTGAGTGTTTGACCCATGTTTATTCCCGCTTTCTAACACAGCGTTTCTAATCTTTTTCTTGGGGGCACAACACAAGCTTTGACAATGAGCCCATTGGGTATTGTTAGTCTTCATAACCGCTGGAAGCAAGAGAAAATCAACTGGAAATTTTCTCATAGAAAATGCGAAATGAAGAGTGACTTTTTAATTTGTGTCTTCAGAAAGGAAAATGTAGAAAACCGGTAGAGATCATCAAGAAACTCTGAGGTTTTCTGATTAAGAAACAGAAAAAAAACTAAACTGCCTGTTATTCACCTTTAGATATCAATAGGAACAGATCCCCATGTCCATAAAATAAATTAGTCTGATTTAAGAGTGACAAAATATTAATGAAGATTGCATTTCAAATACTTCATCCAGTCCCTTATATCTCATTGTTCATCTTACACGTTGAAATCTCTGCAGGGCTTCTGTGTTCTTCCTCTTTCTTTCTAATGGTGTACTCCATCATTCCTGCTCTCCAACCCAGCCAGGTCCTGCCCTTTATATGCCTTGTGGACCCTTTCCCTCTCAGCTGCCTGCATGCAGGTTTTCAGCACAGCTCTGTGTCACATCACTGATGCCATGACATCACAGTCCTTTCCCTGCTTGAATTGTCATCTGCTGTTTTCAGCCTCATATTTGCCTGGGTCAGAATGTACTTTATCTGTCCTGAAAATCTGTCAATGTCAATCCTAAAATTATGTCATTTTAGAAAAGATATTAAGCCTTCCCAAAAGCAGAATGGAACAACAAAAAAATCCAGCTGAATGCCTAACATTGGAGGGTAGGAAGTGGTATTATGAGTAGGTAGAAGTCTTTTTCAAAGTGGTAGGACTATTTAATAAATCCTTTGGACGCCAGCAGAGCATGAGGGAGAGCCATTTGTCAGTGGGAAAATTTGGGAGCAATATCTACAGAATAGTTGGAGATTTTTTTTTTTTTTTTTTTTTTTTTTTTTG